TCGGCATTAAAAAAAGGACACTCAGACCAATGGAACAGAATAGATAACTGAGAAATCAACCACCTGCATACTTATAGCCAACTGATCCTTGATGAAGGCAACAAGAACATACATTGGGAAAGGCATGGCTTCTTCAACAAGTTGTGCTGGGAAAACTGGGCATCCATATGTAGAAGAATGAAACTAGACCTGTACCTCTCACTAAAAATCAAGTCAAAATGTGTTAAAGTCTTATATATAAGACCCAAAACTACAACTATTAGTAGAAAACATAAGGGAAATACTTCAGGAGGTAGGACTGGGCAAATACTTTATGAACAAGACTCTGAAAGCACAGGTAACAAAAGGAAAACTAAATAAATGGGATTATACCAAACTGAAAAGCTTCTGTGCAGCAAAAGAAACAATTAACAGAGCAGAAAGACAACCTACAGAATGGGAGAAAATATTTGCAAACTATGCATCTGACAAAGGATTAATATCCAGAACATATAAGGGACTCAAACAACTTAACAGTAAAAAAACAAGTAACCCGATTTTTTAAAAAATGGGCAAAGAAGCTGAATAGGTGTCCTCAAAGGAAGATATGCAAATGGCCAATAGACACATGAAAAAATGCTCAAAATCACTAAGAATCAGGGAAATACAAATCAAAACCACACCGAGATTCCATCTTACTCCAGTAGACTGGCCAGTATCAAAAAGACAGAATAACAAATGCCTGCAAGGATGTGGAGAAAGGGTAACCCTCCTACAATGTTGGTGGGTAAATTAGCACAGCCATATGGAAAACAGTATGGAGGTTCCTCAAACAACTACAGATAGGCCTGTCATATGATCCAGCAATCCCACTGCTGGGGATATACCCAAAGGAATGGAAATCATGTCAAAGGGACACCGACACTCCCATGTTTATCACAGCTGTGTTTACAATAGCTAAGAGTTGGAAGAAAATGTAGAATATATACACAGTGGAACACTATTCTGCCATAAAAATGAATGAAATTATGTCATTCACAGCAACATGGATGAACTTAGAGAAAATTATGTCAAGTGAAATAAGCCAGGCACAGAAAGAGAAATGCCACATGTCCTCACTCATAAATGAGAGAAGAAAGGAAATGGGGGGAGGGAAGGGAAGAATCAAGCTTAACTCAGTGAAGCAAAAGAGTGATGTGTAGAACTCGCACACAGCTCAAAGGAGTTCGGCTTTGCAATCGCTATGGGAAAAGCACATTGGAACAGGCTTCTGCGCACGGTAGAAAGTAGTGTTGAATATCTCTGGTAAAAAGACTCACGTCAGTTTACTTGCTTTGAACGAAATTTAACTTCATGAACACAAGCACCACCATGTAGAACTTGCATGTAGCTTCAAGGAATTCTAAAACCCAACCCTAACCCTACCCTAACCCTAGCCCCAACCCCTAGCCCTAGCCCTAACCCTAGCCCCTAACCTCTAGCGCCAACCCCTAACCCTAACCCTACCCTAACCCTACACTAACCCTAGCCCCAACCCCTAGCCCTAGCCCTAACCCTAGCCCCTAACCTCTAGCCCCAACCCCTAACCCTAGCCCTAACCCCCAACCCTAACCCTACCCTAAAAACAAGAATGGGAAATGCCTATGGAAGCAGCGTTGGGTATAATGTCAGAGAAGATTCTTTGAAAAGCTTTGTGAAAGAGTCACACAAGGTTCCCCATTCAGAATCAAGGTCAACTCAGCGAGGCGAAGCAGCCGAAGCAGCGGTGTGTGGAATTCCCATCGCTCGCAGGAACGTTGCTTTGAAGCGGCTGTGGGAAGAGCCCCCTGGAACAGTCGTCCATCCACGGCCAGTAAACGTTGTTGAATGTCTCTGTGAAAAAGACACACAGAAGACCACCTGTTTAGAACAAAGTTTAACTTTATGTACACAAGCACCGCCGTGTGCATCTCACATCTAGCTTGCAGGAATTCTTTTTCGGAATGGGTATGGGAAAGGCCTATAGAGGCAGCATTGGACATATGGTCGGAGAAGACTCCCTGAAAATCTCTGTGAAAGGGAGTCCCACAAGTTTCCCATTTAGAATCAAGCTTAACTCAGTGAAGCAAAGATCTGGTATGTAGAATTAGCATATAGCTCGAAGGATTTTAGCTTTGCAGCCGCTATGGAAAAAGCCCATTGGAAGGGCCTTCCACACAAGGTAGAAAATATTGTTGAATATTTCTCAGAAAAAGGCTCACAGCAGTTTACCCACATTGAACAAAATTTAACTTTACTAACACAAGCACCACCATGTAGCACTTGCATGTAGCTTCAAGGAATTCTGAAATCTAACCCTAACCCTATCCCTAACCCTTAGCCCCTAACCCTAATCCAAACCCTAAACCCTGATCCTGACCCTGACTGTGACCCAAACCCGAACCCAAAACCCCAATCCGAACCCTAACCTAACCCGAACCCCAACCTGAACCCGGACCCGAGCCCCAAACCCAAACCCTAAGTCCTATCCCGAGCAATAACCGTAACCCTAACCCTGACCCAGACCTCAACCCCAACCCTGAACTCGACCCTGACCCTGACCCTTTGATCTTTTTTCTGATATCTGATGCTTTTCATTAACCAAATTAGGCTAACAAGAGAAGGCCCAGGCACTCCTGGGTCACAAAGCCAGAATGGAGTGTGACTTGATACAAAGTGTGCAGATAAGAGCTTTGGCCATGGATATTCAGGATGACAATTCATCTGGGATAACACGAGTAAATATGACCTAGATGCCAATAAACGATGGCATGTTGGTAGATCTGGTGGGTATGTTTTTCTTTTCTGATTACTTCAGTTTCTTGGTAAAAGAAGGGCCGAGGTGTAAAGTGTAAGGTAGGAGGGCAGTGTGACAGGAGCCCCCTCCAAGGATGAGAGGACACCCCGCCGCAGAAATCTAGCAGAAGTCATGGCAGCACCTGAGGGCCCACCCAAGGTTGTGGTCTTGAAGTGAGGTCCTCGCGTGAGGGCTTCCAGCCTCATTCTGCCAGGTGGGCAGAGTTGGGTTGGTGCAGTGTCAGGGCTTTGTCAGAGCAAATGGAGAAGGAAGGGGCAGGAGGCTGAGGGTGTGAGCAGGGGGCGATTGCGACCGTGCTCCAATGAATGCGTGCTGGGCTCAGCACTAATGCTCCCCAAATAACTACTGGACTGGCTGGGGGCCCCGGGGGACCGAGCCCGGAGACAGGAGATGGTGAGGAGGGCCCCTGAAGTGGAGCTTTAGAAGGGAGTGCAGTGGTGGGCAGCTGTCTGACGCACGTGGAGGGCGAGGGGGCCAGGGAACGAGGGTCTAGGGTGTGAGATGGATTAGCTACCAGGACAGAGATGTGGCCCAACAGGACACAGGAGTGGTGAGCACGGACAGGACGAGATGCTCAGATCCTCAGCGACCCTGAGAGGGTTGGAGGTGCTGCCGGGAGGTGCTGGGGAGGGCTGGAGAGGGGCCGGGGGTGGGGAGGAGAGAACACTCTTCGCCTGCTCCACCTGCAGCCTGCGGAGAAAACAGAGAGAGAGAGGACAGGTGCCGAGGAGGATGCGCTCCACAGGACGCAGCTCTGCACGTCAGGGTTGGGGTCCAGGCCCCACCCCAGGGCTCTGCCTCAGTGGGTCTATGTTGGAGCAAAGCCCAGGCCAGCGCTTAAAACAATCTCCCCGGGGGAGATGGAGGGGAGAAAATGAGGGATTGGTAAAGGGACACACAAATCAACTACATCGTATATTGATAAATTAAAATAAATAAGGACAAAAAATCTCCCCAGGTGATCACAACAGGCAGCACCGAGTTCAAGACAGTGCGGGTCTCTCAGAGCAGGGGGTGGGGGGCGACAGACGCCTGAGCTCGAAACCCCGGGGGCCTCCTGGACAGGGAGTCACATCTGCCTGAGCACGGTCCCTGTTCCTACAGGGCTTCCTTACAGATGATGTCATTACATTGTTTCTCCTATTCTTTTGAAATTACGTGTATAAGCAGGTTATATCATTTACAGATTTAATTTTGGGTTAGCCAAGGGGGTTACAGAAGATTCATTATAAACAGGGGTCTAAGTAGATGAAAGCCACTGAAGTCAGAGGCAATGCTCGTGAGGGGCACAGAGCAACGGTCTGGGGTCTGCATCAGAACAGGAGATATTCAGGGCCAAGGGGGCATGATTGGGTTTGACCCGACAGTACAGGGGAGAGGAAGATCAGGTCTTAATGAGGAACCCCCCAAAGGCTGAGCAGCCTCTGGAACAAGGGCCTCAGGGTCCTGACAGAGACCCTGCAGGTGGGCAGGCCAGGGTCCCATGGGACACCATCAGCCACCAGGTGGCAGCAGAGGACAGGGGCAGGGGCCAGAGTGAGAGGGCCAGGACTCCAACACCCCAGGAACGGTGCTGTTAGGGCGATTTGTTTTGGGGGCCCCAGGTGTCCCGGCCTCCTGCTCCATTATAACATGCTCTTGGACGCTCTCCCCGAGGGTTAGACGTCCCCGGCTGTGGCCCCTACCTCATCTCCTGCTGTGACCAGGCCCAGGGGTGGCCCAGCTCCACGTCCCTCGGGTCCTCTCAGGCCACCCCCCTGACCCCTAATGCTACCACCCACTTCAGGCCTCCTGTGGCCCTGGGCCCATCTCCCACCACCCGGATCCACAGCCCCCAGGACGCCCTCTGCCCCATCTGCATGTGTGGCCACCCCCGTCTGTGTAGTGAGGAGGCCCCTGCCCCATTGGAGATTCCCAGATGCAGACCCAGGCCACACAGCACGGTGAGCACCGGGCCCTCTGCACTGTCCAGCATGTGGTCTAGGTCCTCCCCTCACAAGCCACCAAAGCCTGTTGCTGCTTGGCACCCACTGGGGGGCAGTGGGGACCCAGGGATGCGCCTCACCTGTGCTGTGCTCACCAGCTCCTGATGGGCAGGTCCGGCCCGCCCCCTGGGCGAGGTGCCGCCTGCTGAGGCATAAAACCCCCGGGATCCGGCCCCGAGGCAGCTCCTGAGCCTATCGCCATGAAGGCGAGCAGTGGCGTGCTGCGGGTGGCCCTCACCTTGTTCTGCATCTGCGGTGAGTCTGTGCACTGGGCACTGGGCGGCAGCAGACACCACGGTCCCAGCACATGGTGGGGGGCTGGTCTGGGGTAGTTCCAAAGTTAGTTAGGAAATTCTCCCCACACCCGAGGTTTGGCTTTCCCTTCCCAGGGATCCCGGAGCGGAAATCAGGGAAGCTGGGAGCAGGCATGATGGGGGAGAGGTCTGCGGGCAGGTGGGGTCGAGGGCTAATACGGAGGGAGACCTGGGGAGAAGAGGTGGGCACTGATGGGGAAGGTCGGGAGACGCACAGAGGTTCCAGCCTGGGGGCAGGTCCTGTCTTGGCGTCATCTCGCCCCCACGACACAGGGCTGGTGGCTGCAGGGGAGGACGACAATGAGTTTTTCCTGGACTTCCTACAAACACTGCTGGTGGGGACCCCAGAAGAGCTCTACGAGGGGCCCCTGGGCAAGTTCGACGTCAATGAGGATGCCAAGTCAGCACTGACGGCGCTCAAGTCCTGCATAGACGGCCTGCAGCCCATGCACAAGGCAGAGCTGGTCAAGCTGCTGGTACCAGGGCTGGTGGGACACCCCACTCCCCAAAGATCCCTATGCACGGCCCCCAATCACCTGCCCAACACAGCACCCTACAGCCACCGCCCCACAGGAAACCAACCTGCCTCAGCCAGCCAAGGTGGATGCCCCAGACCTCCCTGCCCACAGAGCAGCCCCCAGACTCCACGGATGACTCCCCTCCAGCCGTGGGCTACAGTACGTGCATTCACACAAGCATGCTTACACCGGGACATGAACACTCTCACACACTCACATACCACCTATGCACACACATGCAGTCATGTGTGCACACACAACACCTCCCAGCTGCTAGGAGGGGACGGGCCACAAAGTGCGGGAGCCCACCATCCCCTGTGAGGCTGGCCCAGGCCCGCTTCCCTGCAGAGCTGTGGCTCTGCAGCTGTCGATGGACAGCCCTCTCGGCCCACACATGTCTGCCTTCCAGGTGCAAGTGCTGGGCAGTTGAGATGGCACCTAAGTGGACCCCAGAAGTGGCTCCAAGCAGCACAGGGCCAGCCACACAAGCAGACATGGACATGCTGCGCCACCCTGGCCTCCCCACGTGTAAATTTACCCTCCAACCCTTTAATCAATAAAGTCTCCTGCAGCTCAGGCTCCTGCCTCTCCTCGCCTCCAGCAACACATGGAAGGTCACATCAAGAACACACTCGGGGACACAGCCACACATGCAGACCCACATGTGCAGACTAACATACACAGGGTCACAAGCAAGGAGCTCACACAAGAGAGAAGCCCCACACAGAGGGACACACAGAAACAGGATACAACAGGAGCCAGCAACGGGGGGGCAACCCAAACAGAAATCCAGGCAGACAGCATGTAGGCTGTGGACAGAGCACAGACAAGCGGACGTGCAGACACAGGGTCTGCAGGAGCAGGCACTCGGAGCAGGGAGAGGCAAAGAGCCCAGAAAGAGGAAGTGTCCGGGGCAGGTGGGAACAGACGGGTCCACACCCCATCTCGCCCACGAGTGTGGGGAGGAGTCAGCACTGGAAGTTGGTGTTGCAGGACAACAGCTGGGCACTGTGAATGCACACAGTGGCACCGACAGCACACACAGGTCCACGGAGGTTGGAGAACAATCTCCGTCCCTAAAGCCACCCAGGGAAAGAGACCAGGACCGAGCTTGAGCCCCAGGAGGACCCCGATAAGGGTAAGGGTTACAAGAACGTGCGCCTGCTCACGAGGACACCCAGGATCAAAGGGGTGGGAGGGGCTGGCAGTGGCCACGTGGTCCAAGGAAGGGCAGCCAGGACAGCAGCACCTTCACACACCAGCTCCGCCCGTCCACAGCCTGCAGACCCTGACGCAAACCTGGATCCAGGATCCCCAACAGCCAGTACCCTGCAACTCAGTTACCCCAGCTCGGTGGTCTCTGCTGGGGGCAGGTCTGAGTGAGATCCTCACATTCCCTCCTTGGCCATCCGGGATCTGGACCCATGACCTCACTGCCCTGTTCCTTCTCCCACACCTCTGTCCCCTGCCAGCCATGAAGAGATGGGCCTCGTGGAGAGGCCCTGGCGGAGGGTATGGGGCATGGCCCGGGGGACCTTCATAAGGGGTCCCTGGTGAGGGAGCTCTGGAGTGGGAGCTCCTGGGCAGAGGCCATTGTCTTCATCACACACACAGGGATCTAGAACCCACTGTCCCACAGAGCCACATTCTAGAGCTCAGGAGCGGGGATCCCTCCCCAATTCTCAAAGCCCCCAGGAAGAGAGGAAGGCCTTTCTCTCCATGCTCCTTTTGTGGGAACTCCCTGGCGCTGAGGCCGGGGAACAGGACGGCCTCTGAGTGGGCTGTGTCCACAGCAGCTCCTGCACCAAAGAGGTAAGGCCCCCTCTGGAGCAGCACCTCCCTGCTCCACTGCACAGCCTCAGCCAAGACGTTCCCCACCTTTGCCAGCCCGCTCCTTGCCAGGGTCCTCTGAGTAGGATGAAGCTGCCCAGGCCTGCCTTAGGACCAAGAGGGGTGGTCAGTCAAGGGCCAGGATTGACAGCTCCTCTGGGCTTGCACCAGGGTCTGACCTCATCCTGGGAGCTGGTGAGGAAAGAGTGAGCTTACCGCTCCAAGCAGAAAGCTCCCGCTGCCCCTAACTCCTGGCTCCAGACCCCCCAGAGGATGAGGATGCAGCAGCCTGCAGTTCTGCCCCATCAGCATCAGCAGGAGCAGGGACTGGGGGCATGGGGGCCGGGAGGACATGGCAGGGGCCACCCAGCATCCGGTCACCCTCTTGCCCATGGACAGAGCCAGCCATGGCAGAGGAGACATGGGTGGGTACCTGGAGGCCCCACCGGCCCCGGGGGCCCATCATGGCGCTCTACAGCAGTCCTGGACCCAAGTACCTGATTCCACCCACCACAGGTAAGAGCCTGAGCGTGGGGGGAGGTGGGGCAGGTGGAGGGGACAGGAGCTGGGCTTGGGGTGGGCCTGGGGCTCAGTCTCTGACTCCCAGCCCTAGGGTAGGTCTGGCTCAGGCTGCTCAGAGCCCACTGCACCCACAGGCTTCGTGAAGCACACGCCCACCAAGCTGCGGGCACCAGCCTACAGCTTCCGTGGGGCCCCCATGCTCCTGGCAGAGAACTGCTCCCCGGGGCCCCGCTACAGTGTGAACCCCAAGATACTTAGGACCGGCAAGGACCTTGGACCCACTTACTCCATCCTGGGGCGCTACCACACCAAGACCATGCTGACCCCTGGCCCGGGTGAGTGACCCTGCCTCTGCCCTGTCCCAGCCTCAGTCCTGCCCGCCCCTCCCATCTTTCTGCTCTGAAGGGCGCAATGTCAGGCCTGGGCAGAGGAGCCTCTGAGACCCTCAAGCCAAGCACCAACCTGGACCTTCCTCAGCCCAGGGCCAAGACCACATCAACCCCCAGTCCCTCTGCCCGAAAAGGGCCCCCTGTCCCTCCAGCCCTGAAGTCAGCGTTTTCATGCTGGACACCTCTGACCAAACCTGGTTACCACACCTGAAATGTCGGGTGCTCCTCTTTGAGCCCCCAAACCAGGCCAGGCACCCACATCCTTGCTGTCCCAGCACCCCTCTCCTCCACCCCCAGGCGACTACTTTCCAGAGAAATCTACCAAGCATGTGTTCGGCTCGGCACCCAGCCACTCCATCTCTGCTCGGACCAAGACCTTCCGAGTGGACAGCAGCCCAGGTCCGCAGCTGACCGGACCTGGGGGTCTCGGGTCGGGCGGGTGAGCGGGGCAGGCTGACGGCTGGTCCCCGGGCTGGACGGAGCCCTGGGAGGGAGCCAGAGGGCCTGCTCTGGCCTGAGTCCAGGTGCCCTGCAGGGCCTGCTGCATATGTGCTGCCCGTGGTGATGGGGCCGCACGCCGTCGGCAAGGCCTCCCAGCCTTCCTTCTCCATCAAGGGCCGCAGCAAGCTGGGCAGCTTCAGCGACGACCTGCACAAGGCAAGGGTCACCCCAGCCAGGGACAGAGCACTGCACCGCCCCCCAGGCCAGGACCCACTAGCCCCACCCTGTCCTGTGAAGTCCCCCCAGCCCCCTCAACCGCTCATCCTCTGGGTGCCTCCCTGTGCTGGGCCTACACCCAGCAGTGTGGGGTGGGCAACAGACCAGCAGGGAGAGGCCAAGCCCCTGCTGAAGACAAGCAGAGAAGGGGTTATGGGCGCCGCCTGCAGGGCAAGAAGCAGTCTCAGCTAGGGTGGCTTGGAAGGAAGAAGAGAAAAAATAAACCAGGAGCTATTTGGGGAGGAAACTTCCGGCTGTGGAAACAGCCAGTGCAAAGGCCCTGGGGCAGGCCTGGGAGCTGGAGGGGCCGGAGACAGTGAGGCAGTGTCACAGTGCCTTGCACTGCTCGTCCAGCCCCAGGCCACTGCCCACATCCAACAGGACATGTCCCGGCAGGGAAGGGGCCTCACACACACACACACTCACTCACAGAAGGGACCTGCCAGCATCAGCACTCACTGGGGATGTCGTTGCACAGTAAGGCTGAAATGGTGGGGGTGATGCCCCACATAGAGGTGTCCTGCAGCAGTGAGTGTTGTCCCCACGCATGACAGAGGCAGAAGAGAACCTGATGCACAGGCACCAGTTTGGAGGTGACCCTGGTGACTCAGGGTCTGAAACCTCTCATCCAACGCAGACCCCCTGACCTCTGGGGCCATGTGTCCTGGGGACACTGAGCCTGTCTGAGCCTCCTTGGCCTCTCAGACCCCAGGTCCTGCGGCCTACCGCCAGACTGATGTGCAGGTGACCAAGTTCAAGGCTCCACAGTACACCATGGCTGCCCGAGTGGAGCCCCCAGGGGACAAGACCCTCAAGCCAGGACCAGGAGCCCACAGCCCTGAGAAGGTCCAGAAAGAGCATAGACAAGAGGGGTCTGTGCTGGGGGAGGGGGGCACAACCTGGGGGGTGGAGGGGTGGGGGGCAGGGGTAGGGCCCAGAGCAGGGAGGAGGGAAAGGGCCTGCGCCCTCACCCTCAGGACCCTGTGCATTTCCAGCACTAGCCCAAGAGGCCACCGTTCAGGGACAAAGAATGAAACCCTCCCCTTTTTCCCAGCTGGCCGTGGCATCCCCAAACACTGTGACATTAATGCTGCTGAGTGCTGTGTTCAAGCTGGCAGCACAGCCTTGGCACCTGGCCACCTTGGCCCTGGGTTCAGGAGGGACTGCGGCAGCCTGTGGGGTGGGGCGGTGGTGCTGGCTCTCCTAAAAGCCTCCCCCCTCCCAGGTGACCATGACCAAGCCCTGCGCCCCCATTGTCACCTTCGGCATCAAACATTCTGACTATATGACACCTCTGGTCGTCGATGTCGAGGAATAGCCCCAGCCCCCACCCCACCTGCCAGCCCGGCCTCTGCACATCACGTTCCCGCAGGAGGTTCCCTGGGCCGTTGGGCTCTACCCTCCTTCCACTAGCTGGGCACCGCCAGTCTGGCCCTGCAGGCAGAGCATGCTTGCCTGGACAGTTGTGACCACGTATTTTTCTCTACACTACTTTCCTACTTGTTCATCTTGTTTCCTGCTGTGCCACATTATTTAATAAATCGTGGATTCTAATTTGGAAGGGTTTGCTTGGGGGAATGATCAAGGTCTTCTAGAAAGGGACCCACACAGGGCCCTGTCCTGGTTTCCAGGGCCTGGGGTCTGCATGGTGAGAGGTGGGAGGCCCAGGAGCCTCAGACACCCGTGCCTGTCCTCCTGATGCTGCCTTGAGTCCCAAAGACGGCCACCCCGTGCCCACATGTGCTCTCTCCTGAGACGGGCCCTGTGTCCCTCCCCTTGAGTCTGCACTGGAGCCTGTGACCACCTGGATAGTGGGATACGGGCTCCCCTCCAGCACCAGCCGCCACGGTGTGAGCTCAATGTGTGAGGCCATGTGCAGTCCCCACTGTACTGCCCTCCAGACACAGGGGCTTCCAGGACGGCAGCCCCGTCCTCGTGGTGCCACCTCCAGTGTTGACCATAGTAATAAGACACGTGGTCATTGCTGTTTTAAGTGACAAAGTTTGGAGTTGTTACACATGCGGGGAGCATGGAGGGGGAGGGGGCAGGTGGCGTCTCAAATGGCCAGAAGAGGGACCTTCCAGAAGCCGCCCAGGAGCCAAGGCCAGGCCTTAAGGGGTGGAGCTGGGACTGCACCTCGCCTTGAGGGGAGATCACTTCAGGGGGCAGCCCCGTCAGACACACTGGTAGGCTGTCACCCGAATGTGCGCAGCCCAGCTGGCTGTGAACACGCTGGGCTCCGCCCCTGAGCAATTCCCACTCACTCACTCGGTGCTTAGGAGGTAATGCCACCCTCATCCCCACATGAGCTGCAGGACCCTGGGCAGAGACATGGTACCTGTGGCTACTCTGCCTGAGGCCAGGCCTGAGTGGAAAAGGAAGGACACAGGGACCCCTGAGAAGTGGGGACAGGAAAGGGGAGGACCTATAGCCCCGGTGCCCACAGCAGGCCTGTGGACCAGGCTCAGCTCGACAAAACTCCTTCAAATCCCAAGGAAACGAGGACAAGGACCATGTGGTTACTTCATGAAGCTATGTTTATTCCAAATTTTTAGTGTTAAAATGTCTTACTCTTGAATTATGGGATACAAACTGGCAGTTTGCCCTCACTTGGCAGAGTGGACAATCCCGGCCCTCACACTGGGCCCCCGAGGTTTTGTTTTATTGCATCAGGGACCAAAGGCAGCTAACCCCACTAATCCACAGGTCCAGGTGCTGCGTGTACAGGGCAGAGCCAGAGGGGGAGGGTGGGGCCCTCGGGGACTCTGGTGTGACAAACTCACAGGGCTGCCGTTCCCCTTCATGGAACTCACCCTCACATGATGAGAAAAACGAGAAACAAAACAGCCAACCGGAAGGGACCTACAGCCCAGAGCCCAGAGTTGCCAGAGATGGAGGGGAAGGGGGACGGAGGCCTGAGGAGCAAGGTGGCAGCAGCAAGACGAACGGGCACTGCTCACAGCAAACACCTGCTGGGCTCTGGTTTGTTCCCCACGGCTCAGCTGTGTTCTTGGGAAGTGGAGGTCAGCACCACGCGGCCCCGAAAAACGGGGGGATGCACAATTGGGGTATAGATGTGGTGTCCACAGTGACCGGACGGGGCACAATGCAGGCAGCTGTGGCGCTTGGTGACCAAGAGACAAGCCCCAGCCATGGCGCACAAGGACACTGGGAAATGAGGATGGCCCTGCGAAGGGGAGGCCAGCCCAGAGGGGAGGGTTTCAGGGAAACAGCAAAGCCCCAGAGACACAAGGCAGTCAAGCCGGCCTTGCCAGATGAGAGCTGAGCCTGTGCTGGATGGGAGGAGGTTAGGACAGGGAGCTCGGAAGCAAGAAGGCATCCCCACCTCCAGCACACTTAGGGGCCCAGCCAGGTGCAATGGAAGGGCCAGGCGACAAGAAAAGGAGGTTGTGGCAGGTGTGCACAAAGAAAGATGGCCTGCTGGATGGAGGTGGAGGAAGGGGATGGCAAGGCGAGGGTGCCCGGGGCTGAAGGCCAGAGCAAGGCAGAGCCAGCGCCCGGCTGTGGCTGATCCATCGGGTTCAGAGGAAGCAGTTGTGGATGGACAGGACACATGGTATGGCCACGTGGGTGGGTGGACAGTGAGCCAACAGTCCTAGGGAGCAACTGGAAGGCAGAAGATCAGAGCTGCAGGGCTCATTCCTTAAGGGTGTCTTTACACAAAGACAAAGGTGTTGAGATCGCACTGTGGGGTGGGAAAACGTTTAGTTCTGTCAACATGGAGCTGGCCAAGTGGACTTGAGGGCCCAGAGAGAGATGGGTGAGACAGGCAGTCTGCAGAGGCTGGGGACAAGAAAGGGCACAGAGCTTGGTCACGGCAAAGATTGGCCATGGGAGGAAGGGCAGGGCTTCATGGGGGGCAAAAATTACCCACAACTGAGAGGCGACTCTCTACAGGTGGCCTACAGGTCTTACAAAGAGGGTCCTCTCAGAGAAGCCTCTCGCCTCCAACACTCTGCCTGACTCTGAAATGCCAGACCAGTCCGTGTCTAGGTCCATTTCCCTGGGAACATCTTTGGTGCTGGGTCCTGAGGCCTGACAGCATGACTTTCTGCTCCTGGAAACGCAACCATATGACCCAGACAGGTCCTGGGCCAGTGCCTCCAGCCAAGGCTGTGTGTCCACTCCTCCACCTGTGCAGCTGAAGTCAGGCCCAAGGGCCTTGCAGCAGGGGCTCCACCCTGCGCCGGTCCACCCATACTCAGAAGCCCTGGCCAGGGTAAATGTCTCCAGGCAAAGACCCTCAGTTGGAAGAGAGGGCACTCCCTAGAAGTTCACAGCCACAGCTCTCTCCTGTGTCAGCTCCAGGCACCTCAGATCACAAATGTTGAGAGTGGCCTTAAGGTGTCAGAGCCCAGAGAGCTAGCAGAACAGCTGCCAGTCACAGGTTGCCATGCCCAGGATTTGACAGCTGCTCTGCTCAGACCTGGTTCTTCCCAACACGCTGTGGCCCCAGCTCTGCTGGGGTCTCTAGCACCTAGGGGTGAGGGTGAGGGCTGGGCCTTGGTTTCCCTGAGGGAAAGAGTCCCTTCCACACATGGGACTAGCCAACGTGAACTCGATGGGTTAGAGGTACCGCGGCCTCCTGCTACACAGAAAGATTCCTAACCCACGATTGTAAATGCACAGGAGTATTTTGCAGGTGAGTCCTCTGGAGCCCAGGATGCCAGGCAGGGGAGACCCTGGCCACCCTTGTCACCCACAGAAGCCAGCTCCCATGGCTCATGTCCTCGCCCTCGACAAGATGTAGGTGAGGATGAAGAAGACCACAATCAGGCCCACAGCCATACCACACAGAAGCTTCCGGTTGTCTCGCCCGGACCTTGCCATTGTGGAAAAGCGCTTCACACTCCCCGTAAGCAGGCTGGTCATGCTTGTGAAATCTGAGTCCTGAGGGAAAATCCCAGAAAGGTCACATAGGGGCAGTGCCTTGACTACCCACCTGCACCAGCGCTGAAGGACAGGAAATGCTGGGGACCTGCGCAGCAGGCAGTGTGGGGGCAGAGTGACCGTGACTCGAGCATGCCGCAGACCCTTACCATGCCATCCAGGTACTGGTTCTGGTCCTCCGCATCCCTATCGATGTCCAGGGCCAGCTGGTCAGGACACAAAGAGGGCAGGGTCAAGCCAGGGCAGACATATAACAGGGCATTCACCCTTCTCAGGACCAGCCGGACCTTACTAACAACTCTGCTAGACATGGTGCCACCAGCAGAGGTCAGAAAAATCCAGGTGCCACCTGGGACCTCATGCAGATGAGCACAGCCACAGGTGGGATTAGGAGGATAGAAAACTGCGAGAAACTCCAGGCCCTCTGCCCTCCCTCTAATCCCTGCTCCACAAGGGCACCATGCGGAGGGGAGAGGAGAGGGCCACGACTGACCGATTTGAGCCTGGTGACCTTGGAGGCCAGGCTGTCAGCCATCCGCTTGTTCTCTTGGTCTAGAATCTCCTCCACAGCACCAGGACTCTGAGCTGCGAGAAGAAAGAGAGGCTGAGGGGCTGCATCCACCCATGAGTACAGCCCTTGTACCCACACTCCAATTGTGTCTGGCCGAATCAGACATCTAGGGGGACTAGGACCACCAGCGTCTGCTGAGCAGGTCCAGCCCTAACCCAGGTTCCATTGGGTGGACCTTGCACCTGTGAGACAGGGTGTGTAAACGATGACGTATGAGAGCACCTGCCATGCGAGCACATCCAGGCAGGGATGGGCAGGTGCCCCCAACAGGTTCAGTCCAACGGACACTCTCTGATACTGATGTACCAGAACCTAGACCAAGCCCTGCGACACTGATGAGATGCAACACCACAGGCATCACCATCTGTGTACTTGGGACTCGTTCTCAAAGAAAAACAGTGAGCTCTGGTACGGGCACAGGAAAGACTTGGGAAGAGCACCCAGAAGGGTGACAGGAAGGCCGCTGCAAGGACAACCTGTGAATCGGGTCCTGTAGAGGTGACAAGTAACCAAGGCAGTACATCAGGAACGCCCTTTACTGCAGAGAAAACGACTGAGCAAAGCTCCCCCTCCCCGCCATGGGAGCTGAGGTTGACCCAGACAGCAGATCCTCGTCTGCATCCCACACAGGCCTCCTGTGACCCCAGAGCATGGTACTTGTAGAAGCCTGGCCTGTGACAGGCTGTGCCAGGTGATGCCAAACTCCTGTCGCATCAGGTGGGTGAGAAAGGCCACCCCCCAAGCGCAGAGTGAAAATTCGCCATTGGTCTGATGCATGGGAAGAATTAGCCTCGATGTGACCCACCTCAGGGCAGGGCGCGACCTAGGAATCACTGACGTGCGCAGACCCCAAAGGAAGCGGTGCCAGTGTCCTGCCAACCATTTTGTTCGTTAGTTTCTCTAATCGTCTCTACGGTCCATCAAGACCAGCATCAGCACCCACTTCGCATATGAGAACACGGGCACCGAGAGGGACAGACGGGGCGCCCGGGGCCCAAGTCCGTAGGGCCTGCTTGGGCCCTCCCACCGCGCACTGCCCGTCCTCCCAGGGCCAGCCTCCGGACCTGCCGACCGGGTGGCCCGGCCGAGGAGCCACGACCCCACGCGGGATCTCCCGGGAGCGGAGCGGGTGGGGGCCCCGCGTCCCAACACGGAGCTCCAGACCCCGCAGCTGCGCAGGGCGGAGACGCCAGCAACACCCCCCCCCAACCCCGGCGCGGCCCGGCCACCCCGCCCGGTTTCCGTCCCAGCGGCCAGTCCCGGCAGGGTCCTCCCCGCCCAGGTCACCCTCGCGGGGCCGGGAACAGACACACGCTGCTCCTGCGGGCAGCGACGTCGGTCCCGGTCCTGCCGCGCTCACCCCGAGTCCAGTCCGCCATGGTACACTGCTTGGCCCCACTGCCGCCCGGACGTGGCGTAGTCTCGGGGAAGGGGCTTCCGGTTCCACCCCCAGCGTGCTAGGCCCCGCCTCCGCCCCGTGTTGGTCCCGCCCCTTCCGCCTCAGGCTGCTTGACTTCCGGCCAAGGTTCGGGAAGGGGGGGCGGTGACGCGGGCGGAAGGAAGTGACGCGCCTGTAAACAGGATGCGGACGGGGCCGCTCGCTCTTGGGGCCGCTCGCTCTTGGGGCCGCTGGGTGGGTTAGTGGCCTTAGGGCCCCGGCTGGGTCCTGACAGCTCGGGCCCTCGGGGTCTGCGTCCCAGCGGCAGGGCGCTGGCAAGGCGAGGGAGCCACGGGTGGCGTGGCTGTGTCACCAGGGACGAGGGCCTTGGTCCTTTCCCCAAGTCAGTGAAGAATCAGACTCGAATCAAAAGCAACAGAAAAGCTTTAATGAGCGCAAAGGAGGAAACACGTCAAGAGATCAGCCGGCCATTCCCCGCGCGGACAGCGGCGCTCACACGCAGGTGTAGGTTTTCTAATGTCTGAGCTTGCGGATCGCTGACAGCGCCTCTGTCGCATCGCGCATGTCCTTACCCATAAATCAGCCTGTTACAGTGGCGTGCAGTCACGGGTTGTACACGTATGAGCCCCTGATGAGCATAAGCCTGCCCGGAGGCCTCAGCTTGTCCCTCGTGTGCAGGTCCTCACACCTGGAGAGTCCCTGGCAGGCCCTTGTGGTCAAATTGCGTCTGTATCAAGTTGCCCACCAAAGGGGTAGATTCTGGGCGGACTTTCCGCCGTTACCTCAGGGGAGGGCCCTGGATGTGACCATGGGGAGGTGGCGCTTCCCATTTCCCTCAACCTGCTCGTGACTGACGGCCTAACAGTTGAGGTCCGGCCTGACCCGGGGCAGGGTCACCTCCGTAACGTGGAGGTCAGAGCCTCGGACGGCGCCTGCAGCAAGTGAGCGCGGCTGAAGCTCAAGTGTGAAGAGCTGCAGAAAAGTGGGGAGGAAAGAGGTCGGGAGCGGGGAGGAGTGGGGACCCAGGAGCAACGAAGGGCGTGGCACCGAGGAGCTGCTAAACAGATGCTCGTGAGGAGTGGACGGCCGTGTTTATAAGTTACTCACGCTACTGCAGCACCTCCTGCGTGTCACTTAATCCTCGCGACGGCCCGCTGAAATGGGCACCTTCGTCATCTCTGTTTTGGAAGAGGGAACGGAACCCGGGCCCGACGGTCGCCGCACGTGGTCAGCGTCGGCCCCTGACCGCCCCTCCCCCACTCCCCCGTCCCCAGCCCACCGCGGCCCCTGCTGCCGGGCATGACCTTTTCCAGATCTTTCCTGGGTCATTCACTGTCGTCAGATCTCAGCAAAAATGCCACTTCGTCAGAGCCCGTGCAGCCCGCCAGGCACTTTTCTGCCTGTTTTCCGGAGGAGGCCGGCTCAGGGAGGGGACCCAGCGTCGTCAGCACCAGTCCTGACCAATCGAGCCAACCGGCCGAGCCCTGCTTTTTAAAAGCAATCACAGCACCGTGACCGCCTGCCCTTCCAGAGCGTAAGCTGTCCCCGCGCGTCCCTAGCGCCCCGCGTGCGGGAGGCGCTCGGCAGACGCCTGACAGGCCGAGAGGCCTCGGGCTGGACAGCCCTCTCCGCTCCGTCCCGTCCCTTCTGCGGGGCGAGGCGGGCGTCAGCGCCTGGGTGCCGGGCTGGGGTGGACGCTGAGGTCCTCTCCCGTTGGAAACCCCAGCCTCAAAGAGTGGGTCACGAGAAGGAGGGTCACTGCTCGGGTCGGACGCGACTCAGCTGCCTAGAGGGCCTCCTCGGCCGCGCCACCCTAGCGCGCTCCACTATAAGCCGCGC